TAAAGCCATTGTTATATGACAAGTACAAATACTATGTTGTAATCAATATACTCTTTAAACTCATCATAACTTCAATAATAGATACGTATTTTCTAGTTAAAGTCTCTAACTAGTCAACCTTGCAAAGTTTACTTGGATGGACATCATAATGTTAACTAAATATCCATCATATCACATACACCATGATATTGTTGACTTATTTCCATTTTCCTCGTCTGAAATTTCATCTGATTGCGATGCCATGATAATGACTCTCAGCAAATACCAAGATGGCCGGCGGCAGGCTCTATGTTGCAGCGAATAACCGCTGGATTTAAGCGCCCATTAGATAGATAGCCGCTGTCCAGATTTCGTGGGCGTAATGAAAGTGCTATTTTGTTGTCATTTTATTGTATGTAAAGATAAAATAAACAATTTTAAAAAAGCTCACCACAGAGTCTCCTGTAGCTCAGTGGTTAGAGCATCCGACTAGATCACGGAGGGTCGTGGGTTCAAATCCCATCTGGAAACTCGATTTTATCGTATTTCCTCAGTTTTAATAAAATCAGTTTTGATAAAACCAGTTTTAATAAAATCCTTCGAAATAAAAGGGCCTTTTATGGTTTCGATGGGTTTTATATCAATTTGTTGCTCAAAAGTTGCTAGATTGCTGGTACTACAAAGAGTTGCTCAAAACGCTAAAAGCTGCTCAAAAGTTGCGGAGCACAATCTATTTATGCCTGGTGTCAATGCACTAATTTCCTAGCTTATAAAGGGACACAGGGATGGCTGGTGCTGCAACTTTCAGAAATTGGGCACTATTTTACAACGCCTTGCCGCAGTATTTCATTAACTAGCTTGTTCGTCTTAAGAATAGGGCGACTTCAATCATCATGCCCGACAGAAGCTGCAATTATGCATGCGAAATCCTTAGCATAACACCAATGGTGGATCATATTAATTTATTATGTTGTAAGCTTTTTCACAGTATCGCATCCGATAGACACTATACGCTAAACAGCTTACTTCCGCCATTACATAAGAGTCAAGGTATAATTTAAGAACCCCTCGCCTTTACAATGTGCCGCACCGATAGGCCAAAGAAAGCTTGTATACTTGCAATGGTCGCCAAGCAGATCAAATTTTATAGGTAAATTTTCATTAGTAGAACTTGTAACAATCGTTATCATTGTAGGTTATTTTCCAACTGATATGTCATAGCTCTAAGAAGTTTATCAAGGGTTTATCCTAATGGTTATGGTTAACTAGATCTCTTTTAAACAAAGTTAGCTTTTATATTATACTTTATTCATTATTGTAACCTTTATAAATCTCAGTATATAAGCAATTGTTACAAAAAATGCTCTTCGCCTGTAGCCACATGCAGTCTTTCACTGTCTATTTTTTTTTGGCTTGGTTTGAAGTTTAATACGCGGTTTGATTCATTCGGCAATGTTGTCATTAAACTATTTGGGCTGGGTTTTCCGCTCCAATCGCTTGTGTTTAAGGGGAAGAAAATTATCAACAGCACATTTAGTATTTCATATCACGTGTCGACAACGACAAAGGGGTCATCGAAAACAAAAGCGCAATCCTAAGGCACTTCTTTCAAAGCAGCCAGAAAATATTCTTTATCTATGTTCTTAACGTCACAATAGATGATTGGGAAGTGTTTTTATGAATGAATGTGTTCCAAACTTCATATTGCATAAGTAATCGATGTTGATATCTCCTAGTAAAAATAATTTTCTTTTTAAGAGAACGCTCATTTTCCATGTTTCTTCCGCGCTTCTAGTCATCTGCTGACCTAAGGACGGAGGCCTGTAAATACCTCCAATAAAGAGGCCAGCTTCGATTTTTAGGGCAGACCTCTAGCCATAGACTTTCAAGGTCGTCAGATTTGAGGTCTCCGCGTCCCTTTGCCTTGAGGGAGTTGTTTACATAGGCTACAATTCCACCGCGTAACTTTCCAATTTTATCCTTTGAATGAAGCTGGAATCCGTGAATACCACAGTGGAATACCCCGTTAG